TTTTTATTCAAATCCTTCCAAATAATTTTGCCTTGCTTGGATATCCAAAAACTATACAAATCAGCTTACGCAGGTTATTAAAGAGAGAAATCTGAAAATGTGTATCCACTAATACATTTCTAAAATCTCCATGATCAAATCTCCAAAATCTTCTCTGTTTCAGCTTATATATATCAATAGAATCTTTTAATTGCCATCTCAATAATACCTTAATAAATCAAATATTTTCAGAATGATGTGTTATTATTATTCCCCTGGGATGACACAGACAGCCCTTCCATGCTCCACTGTGCCTAGTTTATGCCTGTGTTACAGCAATCATGAATTAGGTTTTGGAATTTTTAACTCTACTACCTTGGGCATTGTGCCATGCCATATTTGGGTCCGTGATGCCTACTGTAGTGTCTGACAGAGAACTGCAGCTGTGACCTGACAACTAACTTAGGAGTAGCTAATTTAGTTGTACACAAGTAATAGGTTCTTTATGGTAGTTAACTGTGACTTCCCCACCCTCCCTAAAATCTTTGAGGTAGGTGAGAATTAGCTATTCCTCTTATCATCACTACCCAGTTATAACGAAATAAACTTCAGAGTAAATTCTGCCAAACATACAGACGTTTATTAAACAAGTACGCCTTAGAAAGGAGGCACGGAGAGATTACCAAACCTCTTCCGTAAACTCAGTGAAATCCCAGCAATCTGTCCTTTAGGGAACTGCAATCAATGCTATGCTGAAATGCTCACCAGAGGAAGAAGCCGCCACACTCCAGGGGAGGGATCTGGTTACTGCATTGTTACAATTGGTCGGCCAGAAGTCGTTCTAATCCATAGATGGACACAAGACCATTTAGGACTCTAACAAGACACTGTTTTCATGAATAAAACCCATTGCGTTTAGGAGGCTAATTACCTAGGCATCCGATAATGACTGAGTCCCAGCTCACTGAAGTGAATATAGTAGCCCCTGAGCCATGAGGCCTTGTTGATGAAGTGCAGTCTGTGCATTCTTTATTAGGGAAACTTACTGCCCCTGTAGTTGAAGTTTGCACTAAAGTGCACATTCATAATATTTACATGGTCTATGCTAAAATGTTTTAATGCAAAAGTGTTCGTATGTAAGAACCATTAACAATCGCTGCTCAGTAAATCACACGTGTATCCTGTCAACAAATTCTGATTTAACACCTACCACAGGTCAGACACAATGCTAGACACCATAACGTTAAATAAGATATGGTTCTTATCCTCAAGAAGCTTACAATCTAGTTGGAGAAACATAAGCAAAATAATCACTATAGTATGAAGTGATAAATGCTGGATTAAGGGCACATCCAAGGTGCCAAGAGGATCCCAAAGAACGGCAACTACATCAGACTCAAGAGTTTGTCTGATGTAGCTTTCTAAAAGACATGGTTCTTGAAGTAGTATCAGAACACAACTATGAATTAAGTTAGATGCACTAAGTGGAAGAAATAATTTTGGACAAAAGTAGCAGAGCAATTCTGAAGGCAGAGAAGTTTGAAACCTCACAATCCATTTTCAAAATTGTAAGCAGTTCAGAATGGCTGGGGGATCAAGGAGAGTGAGCTGAGTGGAGAGAGAGGAGCTTAGAGAGGAGAGGGAGACCTTAGAGAGGGAGACCAGATCATTCAGGTTTACAAGTTAAGGTAAGCAGTTTGAACTTTTCTAAAAGATATGGTATACCAAGGGAAGATTTTAATCATGGAAGAAGTGTACATTTTAGAAAGATCATTCCAACAGCAATATGTAGGATGGGTTGAAGCAGGACTGGGGAAGAGACAGAGTTGATGAGGGGGTATGTGGTAAAACCTTGAGCAAAGGCATAAGCAATTGAGAATAGTGAAAGGAACAGATTCAAAAGAAAGAAACCAAAGGACTTGAGACTGAGTGGATATACAGAGTGTGAGAAAAATTTAGAATACCTCTGCCTTGGGCAATTGTATGGATAGTGCTACACAATAGGTGTCAATGACTGAATGAATGAAGTAATGATCAAATGAACGTGGCTCCAATATGGAGTATTTATTCTTTACTATATGAAGATATCCAATACGTAAGTTGTCCTTAGAAGTTTGTATAACCATAAAATAAAAGTAGGAGGCAATGACACACGCTTCTTCTCTTATCAGTTTCTAATAATCCCTGTCAACCCATTGGATTCTCTTCTCTTGCTTGGCTTCTGTTATACAGGCTCAGTCCCTTCTACTTCTTTAAGCACTTTCACTGTAGATGTTTTTTTCTTGCTGGTCAACCTAGTAGTGATTACAGTTTATCACAGTACATATTTTATTTTGCAAGCACTATAGCATAAACTGTAATCTCACAAATGCATGTTAATTAATCTGCAGTAAGCACAGCTTACTTTATACAATTCTCTCCTGAAGTAACTGACAACTTAGATTGACTAGAAATCCAAAGTAATTAATAAACTGTGTTTTACAGCTGCATCTACATTATGAATTATCCTAAGTGACTCTCCCTGTGCAGAATCACTGGCTTATTAAGTACCTATGTTCATATACCATAAAATTTAAAACAGGAACATATACTTTTATCTATACTATAGTTGTTCCATCATACAAATGTATATTCTTTCCTAATTAAAATATAGCTAAAAGTTCCTAAATAATATCCCTTTTCTAATTAAATATAAATTTTCCCTGAAAATCTGTAAAACTTTATTTATAAGAATAGAAACAGTAAAGTCAATATATAGAATTCAACAAACAGTATGGTTAACTGGAAAAGCAATTCTGTACCACAAACAAACAGCTACCTTTTAAAGATCTAGAGAACAATGAAATACTCTTAACCATAAACTTCATGTAACATCGTTACAACATATAACAATATTTTAAAGCTAATCAAGAGATTTTTAGAATATGAAGACTATATTTTTAATATAATTTCAAAAGTCAATTATTATGTTGTGGATGTTTGAAAATGTAACTTCTATTAAATGCTCTCCTATTAAATTGAATACTAAACAATAGATTTTTACTATACCAAAGAAGAATGCAGACAGTGAGGCAAAAGCAGAATGATTTATTGTGCCACCAATTATAATTTAACAAACTATGCCAAATAACATATTGAACATGGATTATCTAGCTCTACATGGAAATAACAGTGTAAAATAATAAGAAATTAACTACAAGAAGTTACATCTCCTAAACAGAGAAAATTCCTGCAAATAATCACATGAATATTTATATTCAGAGGGTGGAGGTTTATTGAAGAATATGCTGTTATATTAATATGTTAAATCCTGGAAGAATCTCCCCGTCCCCTTTTTTTTTTCCAATATGACAGCCTATACATTTTCTGATTATATTCACAGGAAAATATAACAATATTAAGAATAGATTTGTTAAGGAGAACTAAATAAAAATTAACCAATGAAAAATATTACATGCATATTGAACACCCAGAGTTATTAGTCATTTTAATGTAAAAACAATTTCTAGGGTTTAAAATGACTATAGTTGGATAAATGTTTCCAAGAAAAAGAATATGACTCAGAAATAGTGTTATAGACTTATTTGTGTCAAAACGTCTTCCAGCATATTGTTTTAATTACAATAACCTCATTGAAGAAGGAATAAAGAATTTAGCTAGAGAAAATAGCACTAAAATGTCCATGTATACTTTGTTTCTGATATTTCAGTAGAAAGTTTTAGTACCTCCTCGAATCTTGAAAAAGTACTACTTTAAATTTATGGGGCTCACGCACATCACATTTCTGATAATGTTGTCAAAATATGAAGTTATATGCCAAAATTCATATTCTACACAGTATGTATTTTCATTTTTGAACCACTTCTTATTTTGCTTGACACTATTTTTTATAGTTTGTTTTATCTTAATACATAAAATTTTAAATCATAAACTTGAAAATAACTCTATAAAGTTTTTTCTTTCTCTCTGCATTTCCAAAGAGATGTGAGGAACATAGAAGAATTTATAAAGAATGATTACATCTAACTGTTAAATAAGATCTATTTAGAAAAAAATGTTTCAGTTGTTTAGTATACCAAAAAGAGGTGTTATTTAGGATAGCATACATTCATTTTAGGACACAGATGAACTTTTTACATTTTGGTTAAGAATTACTAAATTATCCCTTAGTCCATACAAGTGATAACATACTTTTTGAGTTCTTTATTTAATATTCTAAGAAAATATTTCTCTCCCCATTTTGTATTGTTTCTAGTTAAATAATAATTCTGTGCAGGTAATAGGAATTGCAGTTAAAAACAGAATAAAATAACAAATAGAACTGGTCACCAGAATAATTACATTGTGCTCTATTGAACAAGCAATAGTACATGATTTGGAAGACAAGAATTCACAAGTCAGTGTTTAAATAAGCATTTGAGGGGTAAGCCTCCACCATTCTAAATATTTATGTACAGAAAACATCTATAATCACACTGCATGGAAAGTTTCTTTTGCATATCCTTTAATTCATTTAACATTTTCAGATGTTTGAAGCAAGCTGAACTATTTCAGTCTCATAGGCTTTGGGTCCAAGTCTAGTTCATCAAATTGGGAATGGTGGCAATTATATTTTGGGGAATGGGGAGCAAAAAAAATCAATGGACAAGAAACGTGGTTACTGTATAGCTGCTCACCTATTGTTTGATACAGATGTTACTTTTCTATGAAGGCTAATAAAATATGACCTACTAAAATAACTTGAATAATTACTTATTCAAAATAAGTAATAAATCAGAAAGACAGATCTTTATAAACTTATAAGCAGGCGAGCACTTGTATATGTGTGTGAGTATACACATACCCTTACATCTATCTTTCAGAATACCTCTCTTTCCAGGTTCAACTTTTTTGAGAAAACAACAACAAACAAACAGAATAATGAGAGCCCTAGAAAAATACATTCCAGTGTTTGATACTTTAAATTCAATTCATCTCTCCTTTAAAATGCTTAGTACTGATGGTATACTCATTTTAAAAAACTAGATCCCCCATGGAGTATGTAAGATATTAACAAAATCTTCATCATCTACTATCCCTATACTTAGACCTTCATAGTAATCTTCAAATTCACCATATGACACTTCATCAGACTTACTGCAGGCATCTTTCAGTGTTTCTGGAAAAGATGTTTTGATTTCTTCCTCTGTGGAATGTCCTGTAAAATAGTACTGACTATGAAACAATGTCCTTAAAAGTTCAATGAAATGGCTGATGATAATAAAGAAATACTTAAGTCACCTGATGAAATCTTTCCAACAATTTGAAATCTTATGTCAAACTGCCCTGCAATTTATTTAAACATTTTCTTGCATGAACTAGAATTTAATGGTGAGGACTTCAACACAAATTTGAAGCATCTTTTAAAAGCGTCTGACAGGATGTGTCCTTATGTATAGGCAAAATAACAGTTACTACTGTAGATATTCTTGAATTTGTTAATGTTTTAGAGAACTCGGTTTCATTCCCATTAGAAATGAGGAAAGAAGAAAACAAGTAAATAGTTTCATGATTTATAGGCTGATAACACAGTAATGCAATGTGTTAAAGGCATTAGTTACTTTATGAAGCAGTTACTCATAACTGCAGCTAGAAAATATTACTGCAAACACAGGATTCAGAGGCCTATGAAAATCTTTGCTGGAAGAAATTTTACTTGATTAACTCATTCTATTTTTAATCTCTGACATTAAGTAGGCTATTTCCACTGGTCGGTTATACTAAATATGATTAAATTTTACCCATAGGAAGATGCTATTGAGAATCACATATGTAACAAAAAAAAATTGAATTCTTTAGTTTGTTATTTAAAGTGAGAACATAAAATATCTGATTCATCCTTTTTTTAAAATTCATTTGATTTTTTAATTTAGAAAAAGAACAATAAGCTATTTAAATAATACCTTTGATTATATTATGGCCAGTTAAAGGAAAGAGTGATCTCAGCTTAAATACTTTTTCCTTAGGGAGGAAATATTAGGATATTTTCTGTACCTTCAAATTTTGATAGACATATTTATGTTCATTATATGATAGCTCCATCCCTAGAGAAAGCCATTTCCTTATTCTGCCTTAAATCTTGAAGCATAAGCAGTTACAGTAAAACTAATTCAGAGAACTTGCACATGTAATTATGTATCCTCTAAATCTGTTCTGTTCTAACTCAATTTCATCACTATCTCCTCAACAGGAAATAAAAGTTAACCTCAATTATAAACATAAAAGAAAAAAATAAGTACAGATAATAGACCTCAGAATTTTTAAATTAAGAAGCTCTCCAGTTGCTGCTAACGTGTTTAAGAAGAAAGAGCTCCATGGCCGACCACTTACAGGAAAGAACTCATAGGGCTAAATAACTCATCCAGTATCACACAGACAGTAAATGGTTAAGCAGTGAATTACATGGATCTCTCTGATTGGAACTCCCACAGTTTTCCCATTAAACTTTGCAGTATCTCAGGAAGGGCCTCAGCCGTTTATAGTAAAAGAACATACTAAACTTTACTGTTTGGCTTCAAGATGGCGGAAGAGTAAGACGCGGAGCTCACCTTCCTGCCAACAAAAACATCAGAAATACAACTACATGTGGAACAACTCCTACAGAACACCTACTGAACGCTGGCAGAAGACCTCTGACCTCCCAAAAGGCAAGAAACTCCCCACGTACCTGGGTAGGGCAAAAGAAAAAACAGAGACAAGAATAGGGACAGGACCTGCACCAGTGGGAGGGAACTGTGAAGGAGGAAAGATTTCCACCCAGTAGGAAGGCCCTTCGCTGGCGGAGACTGCGGGTGGCAGAGGGGGAAAGCTTAGGAGCCGAGGAGGAGAGCACAGCAACAGGGGTGTGGAGGGCAAAGCGGGGAGATGTCCGCACAGAGGATCAGGGCCGACCGGCACTCACCAGCCCGAGAGGCTTGTCTGCTCACCCGCCGGAGCAGGTGGGGGCCGGGAGCTGAGGCTCGGGCTTCGGTCGTATAGCAGGGAGAGGACTGGGGTTGGCTGCATGAACACACCCTGAAGGGGGTTAGTGCGCCGCGGCTAGCCGGGAGGGAGTCCGGGAAAAAGTCTGGAGCTACCGAAGCGGCAAGAGACTTTTTCTTGCCTCTTTGTTTCTTGGTGCGCGAGGAGAGGGGATTAAGAGCGCCGCTTAAAGGAGCCCCAGAGACGGGCGCGAGCCGCGGCTAAAAGCGCGGACCCCAGAGACAGGCATGAGACGCTAAGGCTGCTACTGCCGCCACCAAGAAGCCTGTGTGCGAGCACAGGTTACTATCCAGAGCACAGGATACTATCCACACCCCTCTTCCGGGGAGCCTGTGCAGCCCGCCACTGCCAGGGCCCCGTGATCCAGGGACAACTTCCCTGGGAGAACACACGGCGCGCCTCAGGCTAGTGCAACGTCACGCCGGCCTCTGCCTCAGCAGGCTCACCCCGCATCCGTACCCCTTCCTCCCTCCAGCCTGAGGGAGCCAGAGCCCCCAAAGCACCTGGTTCTTTAACCCCGTCCTGTCTGAGCGAGGAACAGACGCCCTCAGGCGACCTACACGCAGAGGCGGGGCCAAATCTAAAGCTGAGCCCCGGGAGCTGTGGGAACAAAGAAGAGAAAGGGAAATCTCTCCCAGCAGCCTCAGGAGCAGCGGATTAAATCTCCACAATCAACTTGATGTACCCTGCATCGGTGGAATACCTGAAGAGACAACGAATCATCACAAATTGAGGAGGTAGACTTTGGGAGCAATGATATATATATGTTTCCCCCTTTTTCTCTTTTTGTGAGTGTGTATGTGTATGCTTCTGTGTGTGATTTTGTCTGTATAGCTTTGCTTTTACCATTTGTCCTAGGGTTCTCTCTGTCCGTTTTTTGTGTTTTTTTTTTACTTAAAATTTTTTTTCTTGATATTTATTTTTTATTTTAATAAATTTATTTTATTTTATTTTATCTTCTTTCTTTCTTTCTTTCTTTTCTCCCTTTTATTCTGAGCCATGTGGAGGACAGGCTCTTAGTGCTCCAGCTAGGCGCCAGGGCTGTGCCACTGAGGTGGGAGAGCCAAGTTCAGGACACTGGTCCACAAGAGACCTCCCAGCTCCACGTAATATCAAACGGCGAAAATCTCCCAGAGATCTCCATCTCAACGCCAAGACCCACCTCCACTCAACGACCAGCAAGCTACAGTGCAGGACACCCTATGCCAAACAACTAGCAAGACAGGAACACAACCCCATCCATTAGCACAGAGGCTGCCTAAAATCATAATAAGGCCACAGACACCCCAAAACACACCAGCAGACGTGGACCTGCCCACCAGATGGACAAAATCCAGCCTCCTCCAGCAGAACACAGGCACCAGTCCCCTCTACCAGGAAGCCTACACAACCCACTGAACCAACC